CAGTAGCAAAATGGCAGTGATGAAGCAGCAACGAAAATAATTTTATGGTTGGGGGGTCACCACCACATGAGGAACTGTATGCAAGGGTCTCGGCGTTAGGAAGGTTGAGGACCACTGCTCTCGACAGTCGCAGTGCTTCTGCCTGCTTATCTGAATGCATGTGTGTATCCATGGGTACACGTTTGTAAATAAACTAGTTCTGCAACAGTTCTCTTAATAAAGCATAGACTGTGGACCTCTTCCCCTGATTTTCAAGAAATATGTTTAGTGTGATTTCATTTGTTTACTAGTACCTAGTATGTTATGCAATTTCTCTCTTTTTCAATCCTGTACAGTATTAAGAAATACGGACATTTTGAAAAATTCGGTTATTACTAGCAGTACTGTAGCCAATAATCTTGCATGTTTCTTTGTACCTGTGTGCAGGCATGCTTGCAGGACAAGTTGCTAAGACATGGAATCGCTGGCTCAGAGGTTCTCCTTGTTCTTTAGATTGAGGTGTTACTAGATTGATCTGTAAGAAAAACAGTCAGTTAAGGTTCCTGGGAAGATAGGGGAGATTCCTCCCCTTCCAGTGTTGCCAGTACTGGCCATTTTGGTTCTTCGAACGGCTAACTGCTTGAACTTGAATGATTTCCTATACCTCTTACCTGTTCCTGGCTTCATAGTCTTTTTTCCTAGTCTTGGTCGGGATCTATCCTACTCACTAAAATGTTGTTAGGGCATTGAAATCATTTTGTCATCGTGTAGCCGGGGTGGGGGATTTTTTTTTTCTGCCAAGGGGCATTTTGATATTTATAACATCATTCACAGGCCGTACTGGGCAAACACTTAATTAGTTCACCTGTAATGCAAGGGCAACGCCTGCTTTTTTGATGAGGCTTGTGATGGTAACGGCATGGATGGTTTCTAGGGCCTGATCTGGCCCCTGGGTGGACTTTTCCCACCCTAGCTTAGAATTACCCGATAGGGTTTTCTAGGCTGTAATAGGGATGGGAGTAGATCTCTGAGTCTTTCCATCATGCAGGCGCTGGTTGGTTTCAAACCACCAATCTTTTAGCAACTGGGTGCTTAATTGTTGAACCATCTGGGATGCTAATTAGTAAACTATAAAGCACAATTGTTGACCCACTGCAGGAAAGTACTCAAAAATCCTTTAAAATAATAGATCTGTATACCTACTAGATAGATCAGTGGTTCTCAACTTGTGGGTCACGACCTCTTTGGGGGTCAAATGACCCTTTCACAGGGGTTACCTGATTCATAACTAGCAAAATTACAGTGATGAAGTAGCATCGAAAATGATTTTATGGGGGTGTCACCACAACATGAGGAACTGTATTAAAGGGTCATGGTATTAGGAAGGTTGAGAACCACTGTACTAGATCTATTTACCTAGGTAAATCTGCTGCACAAGACCTCTTTAGAGTATTGAAAAGCAAGGATGTTACTTTGAGGAATAAGGTGTGCCTGACATATTCCATTGCTTCACATGCATGTGAAAACTGGACCTTCAATAAGGAAGACCGAAGAAGAGTCGATGCGTTTGAATGGTGCTGGAGAAGAATACTGAAAGTACCACAGACTGCTAAAAGGACAAACCAATCTGTCTTGGAAGAAGTATGGCCAGAGTATCCTTAGAGGCAAAGATGGCAAAACTTAATCTTACATACTTTGAACATCATGCTTGGTAAAGCGAAGGGGCAGCAACAGTCTCCCCTCGGGAGTTGGATTGATGACTGCAACAATGGGCTCGGGCATGGGAACAACTGTGAGGCTGGCGTGGTACCAGGTGGTGTTGCATTCTGTTGTGCCTCAGGTAGCTATGGGTTGGAATTGCCTAGATGGCACCTGACAACAACAGCAATATACCTATCATTAATTTCTAAAAGGGAGCAAGTCATTAATTTTTTTTACATAATTTTATTGGGGGCTCATACAACTCTTATCACAATGCATACATACATCAATTGTATGACCCTTCCATAAGGCTGTGCAGTTGCCTACAGATGGGCTTTGGGTCCCCACTCTGCTCTCCCCCTCATTCACAATATGATTTTTGTTCTTCGATGCCTGATACCTCATCCCTTCAACACCTCGTTTTCACACAGGATTTTAAAAATTCATATTCATAGTAACATGGAGTCCAGTGCACGTGTCTCTAGCCAACTTTATGCAGTGGTAGATCTTGAGACGGAAAAGCTCTGTAAAGTGAACTTTTGCAAATATCGTAATGGTTATGTTTGCCCGTGTGCTTGTTTTAAGCAGCAATTTCCTGGACTAAGAGTTCCTGTGCTTCAGCATCCCGACCTCCCGGAAGTCTTACTCATTCCTGTCCTTGGACCAAGGTTTGCAATGGTTTTATTTTCAAATGATGTTTAAAATAACTTTAAAATTCTCTTGTCACAAGGGTCTCATAGTACTTAGTTTCTCTGTAGATAACCAGGCATTCACAGGTGTACACTGCATCATAGAAAATATTACCAAACAGGGATGAAACATGGGCCCAAGTACCTTAAGGGTAGTACATTTTGGATCCATTTAGTTTAGTGATTGAAGTTTTGTTTTTTAACTTTCTCAGAAGCTTATATTTCATATAAAATTCCAATGAAAAATTAAAGCTTAAAAAAATAAGTAACGAAGATACAAAGTAACAAAATTCTTACATCTATAGCTGATGTTTCTAGACTTTTTAAAATAATTCAACAACACTGGAAATTAATATATATCAGAAACTATTCTCTTTGCTTTATGTCTTTGTAAAGCATATCTTTGAAAAATGAAAAAAAGGCTTTTACATCACTATGGGAATTGTATTCTCAAGGACCATTTAAAAATATCCAATTATGACAAGGAGTCCCTGAATAGAGCAAATAGTTAATGTATTTGGTTGCTAACTGAATGGTTAGTGGTTTGAATCTACAGGCACCTCAGAAGCAAGACCTGGTGATTTGTCAGAATAGCAATATATATATTGAAAACTCCTTGGGACAGTTTTATATTGACACACTTGGTGTGACCATGATTTAAAGCAGCAGTTCTCAACCTGTGGGTCATGACCCCT